TTTTGTGAAAAATCTGTACGTGATGGAGAAAAATGGATACCATTTTCGGATTCAGTGTACAAGAATTACTGTAGAACATGTGACAAACTTCAAGACAATAAAACCATCGCAGGCCTGTGTAATCTAGGAAAATATTGTTTGAAAAGTGGATAGGGTCCTTATGGACTCCCAGTCGATAATTCTGTAATTAATGATTGTTTTTCTGGTAAAGTCGATTGAGAAACAAAATTATGTAATTATTATTTTTATAGTCTTAGAAAATGTATGCAGGTTATACATTACAAGACGTAGCACTGTTTCTTTATTTGTTTTGAATTTCGCACAAAGCTACTCGAGAGATATCTGCGCTAGGTGTCCCTAGTGATAAACTAGGAGGGCAGCTAGTTAACGCCACCAACCGCCAACTCTTGAGCTACCATTTACCAATAAATAGTGGAATTGACCATCACTTTATTATGCCCCCACGGCTGAAAGGGCGAGCATGTTTGGGGGATACGATTCGAACCCGCGATCCTCAGATTGTGAGTCGAGTGCTTTAATTACTGAGCTTTGCCGGGCGAGATGCGACACTGGTGAAGAAACATGAAAACTGCAATGCAAAGAAGTTTGTTCAGTCGTGCATTCAATTGCTTTTCGGGTTACTTAACGCATCTTTAATTCATAACCCGCAAACATCCGCACAGCGCTATCTATCTTCAGAACAAGAGATTTACTTGGAGGTCTTCCCGAATTTCGCTTTATGTTATATATATGTGTTAAAAGTTAAACTATACCTACCGCTTTCTCCAGTATCATAGATAGTTGATTCTCTGCCTTTAATGCGTCGAACGATGAATATCATGGCAACCAGAACCATCAAAAACACAGCTAAAGCAACGAAGAGTCCGATATACAGGGCGATATTGGCGTTTGATGTAGCTGGAATAGCTGGAAGAGAGAGAGAGTATTTCTGTGTTATTTTAAATTATTATAAATCAACACGATGTTCCCAATAATAATAATAATAATGCCTCAAAAGCAAAATTTGTTTGTTTATTTTAGCACAAAGCCACATTGGGCTATCTACTATGTCGAGGAATCGAACTCCGGATTTTAGTATTGCAAGTTCATAAACTTACCGCCGACCAACCGAAGGATAAAAAGTATAATATAGTTTAACTTACTAATTTATCACGGGTCTAAAAACTTGCCCAAATAGTTACTTCAGGCAGCATTCAAGACAATATTTGCAAATATTAAGATAATGTAGAGTCTTGGAATTTTACTTAATTATTAAGTAGAATAATATTAAACCCAAATATCTAGCTATGCGCAGAGCTCACTCATATAAAAATTTAACCGTACCGTCATTTAAAAAGATTTATTTACGTACCAACTTAAAAAAAATAATCATTAAAAAAAAGGTTTAACTAACGTGAAACGCATAGGCTCGGAACAATAATTAAATGGGGTGAGAAGATCATTTCTCCCCCAATATTTTGCTGACAACATTTTTTTATTTAGCTTTTTTTTATGCAGTTGACTGATTTTGCCAGCCGAAATGAAAGAATACCACAGTTCTTTGGCAAATTCTAATTATTACGTTGCTAGTAGCTTTTTGTGTATCCGTATAATGTGTATACTGATTACTATCTGAAACATTCTTATTATCTGTATGATTTACGATTTTGTTGTACACAGCAAACAATTTAATTTGTATTTGGTATGCAAAGTACATTATTCACTACTGTGTGAAATTGTATCTGAAACGAATTTATACTTTTGTCTTTTTAAATGGTTTTGATGATAGCTTGAATATTAGTGTACTCCATTTTTTATTTATTAGAATTATTTAAATATCGTTCTAAAGTACCATTTGTAACTTATTTTTAATTATGTGCGTTCAAAAACAACAACAACAAAAACGTTTGGTCACGGCCTAATAACACATTCTTCAACGTGATGTCACTATGCACGCGAAGAAGAATCCACCACCTGAAATCACGTATGTTCAGGAGGAGACAGACTGAAATAATAGCACGTGATATGTGTCTAAATTACGGGCGTACATACTGACAAAGAGATTCTCAGTAATGCCACGTTTTCATGCAGTATTCGTATATCATTCAGATTAGCACGATTTCTTTAGCTGCTTAGATTTTGAAACACTATCGCAAAAAATACTCTTGTCAACAGTATGTTGTTTTTTTTTAAGCAGGAACGACGCTGGTTATAGGTAGGAACTGGGGCTCGAGCTCAGGAAGCAATTAATTTCAGTGAGAGACGGTCCGGTCGGTAAACTTCTTGGCTGTAGGGGCTCGATTTTTAAAAGTTTCACCCCTGAAATCTCATAAAAACTTGATGGATTTGTTCATGTGCATCTCGTTAAAATCAGAATTCGCGGTAGTTAAAAATAAAATGTTTTCTAGTATTTTATTGTAAAACAGATTCAGGGATTTAGCCAGTATATACCCAGCAATTTTCATGTTTGTAAACTACAAGATAAATATAAAACTGGGAATTTAAAAACCTGCAACTAGGGATCGTAAAAAAAAAAAAGGAAACAAGGTTTGAGATATTGTAGACATTATTTACTCAAACTACAAACTCCTAATTTGGCTCCATGCTGTTACCTAGAATTACATTTGGTGGAGTCAAAATAGGGACTTGTAGTTAGCGTAAATAATGTCTACAGTACCTCCAACTTTGTTTCTTTACTTTTTTTACGGTCCCTATTTGCAGGTTTTTAAATTCTCAATTTTTTAATTATCTTATTTGCTGGCTTTTTTATGCTTAACTATGAAAGGATTACTTTGTATGGTAGCTAACTTTATACATTGTAATGATAATAGGCATAGCTAGCAGCCAGCTGATACGGTTCATGATGATTTACTGTAGCTATTGACTATTTGATCACATTAGTTCGAGATGTAAAATGTTAGCTGCAGCTGAAGATTGTCATGGAGATTTGTTTGAGAATATAGTGATAATTTATAGTTTCTGTTTAACTAAATTCTCTATATATAATGCATAGCAATGAGCAAATATGTATCTAGACTAAGACACAACCCCCACTAAGCGCATATAAAATTTTGCCAGTAGAAAAAGCAGCCTTTTCAAATAAAACATATACGTCTAAAACATCTTTTAAAGTAATTATTCAAAGAATGTATGTAATACACTCTAATATTATGTGTGTGTATTGATTTTTTTTACTCCTTCACTTCATATATAATATAGTGGTTTGCTCCCTGAAGACATCGATTGTATAATGTACAAAGCATTGAGTATTTACATGTTACAATCATATAATGTTCATCTATTATTAGCTGGTAATTCCTGTTTCACCCTGTACTTAAGCTTTCTAAAGTAACACCAGATATTCGCAAGAAAGCTAACTTCAAGAGGTAATGATAACATTGTTTACACTAGAATTATGATGTTTTTTTAGCTTGTGTAAAATATAGAAGACACAAATCTACTTTTCAATACCCCTATGACCTTCGCTGTACCTTATTTAGTATTCTACAGAAGG